AAAGTTTATTCTTGACATATGAGAAAGTGAGGAAATGAAAAAGAAAAGCCTAGTGTTGACTTGAGCTACACAGTGAAAAGGACAGGTAACAAATCCCTAATAGAACTCCAGGATAAAATGAAAAAAAAAAACCAAACACAGTTATACCATCCAATCTAATATAGTCAGGAAAAAACACCATTTCTGATCCCTTAAGCACCTTAGAAGCAAAGTTGCCTCCATAGATATGCTTCACTAAAATGGTAGAACTATCAAAATGAAACTGTTATATTGATGCTTTCTTGTGATATAGAGTACATTTGCCAGAATTATACCAATTCCTTAGGCTGCCCTTTTATTCCTGAAATGGGTGAAAAATTTTTTCTCCCTGTGGAATGTTTGAAATTACAATTTATTTGCCTACATTTATCATTCTTATTTATTGCTGTAATGTATTTTAGGCTATTTTGCAATCTGCAGATTGATAACATAATTACAGGTAAGGAACCTTAATTTATTCAATTGCTGGTGCAAATGCCTCAGATTCCTTGTTTATATTAAGAGATTTTCACGAGTGCTGCTATCTCGATTACTGACCAGCACTGACTGAATTAGTACTATTCCCATCTGGACACAAGCCCACAATTTTTTGATACGTGGTTAAACAGAACACACTTTTATAGTTAAATGACAGATACTTCCGTATCAGGTAGTGCAAAAATGTTGGAAGTCACCCCTGTACACACATACACTAAGAATGGAGAAATTTATCCCTGACTTAAGCGTAAAACCTAGCTATATAGTGGTAGGATAATTTACCTATGCATAGCTACTTCGCAGGGAAAAATTTTTAAAAAACAGCAAACAAATAAATCAAAGACATCAGAAAAGAGGGACAAAACGAGAATATAATGTTATTATATCTGTAAGAATGTATGAATGTAATACCACAATCAAGAAAATATCAAACATTAATATACCAAGACACTGAGAACTTCAGTGATAAGATAGACCTTCTGTTCCTTAGTCATGAACAGCTCTGCTTGTAATCTTCTATCTTTGGTCTGCATACAGATAATAGCAAACTTCTAGCATAACATTATGCTTGATTGAACTACATATTTCCAGCAACATTATTTTGGTCCCTGAATTTTGGGGTTTGTATCCCATATGTTACAGAAGAAAGCTGACCAGATGTTCATGAAATTTAACATGTAAACAAACTTAATTGGAGCAATAGAAATACTTGGACTTTTGGACTTCAACGTTGACTGACTAAAACCAGAGCATTTAGTATTATAAGAACGACCTTCACTTCAACCTTTGCACTACTTTTCAGGAAAAGCTTTTGAGGAGGAGGGCTCCCTCCCAACAACAACTAGTGAAGAATATCAGTTACCGTAAATGAGCACTTCTGCTGTGGCTTAGCAAAATACAACTTCCCACACCCTTTTTACCCAACAAAAAATGAGAGAGATGTGAAAAAGGCAATAGGAAAAAACTGTATGCCAAAATGGTATGGACACCAGAAGTTTACCTGGGGCAAGAAGGTGTGTTTGACTTTCGGATTCAAGCCTATTTTCTCAAAATACAATCAAAGCCAGGAGCGAAATCAGTACTAGAAGTTCTTTCTCACTTCCCTTTAAATGAAGTTGAATTGGATGGAATTGAATCCAAGCCTTTGGTAAGAAATTGCGACTCAAAATGGAAATCGTCATTTAACATGCTATCACTTGTATGTCACACTGTTAGACTGGACCATGTGTTATGATAGAAATGAGATTATTTCCAAGTTTCCTTTTCCTCAGGGGAAAAAAAGTTGAAACAAGCCTATAGAGCTCCTGGTCTCACCACTGATTCAAACATCAAGACTTCCAGTGACTTCGCCACTTACACTACACCTGTAAAGGGAGATCTTTTGCAAGATCTGTGATATGACGTTACAGTGACGAAAGTAGGGAAAAAACACATCACGGGTCAGATGATATGCAACAGCAGTTTATGACATCTCTGTCTCCTTTTTACCTCAGTTAATACCGTTGATAGCTGTTACAGTTATCAGGGAATCCCTCCCCTGCAGTAATCCTCTCCTACAGCCCTCTGAACTGCGTTCACACTTATGCCATCTGACTCTAATGGCACACAACACAAGTGCCCGTGAGAAAGAGTTGCGGAGTCTCTGTCTAGTACTTGTCACTTTTAAGTGCACGATAAAGCACATAAAAAGAAAGTACGGTTTCCAATGCCTCCATAATCAATTTAAAGAAGAGCATGAAAAGTAAGCAGAACAAGTGAAGAGGATTTTCAAAAATTTTCCCCATTTGTATAGTTCTATTGTCTTTGAATCTATTGGGAAATTTCTCCCTAAGCTCATAGACAGCAGACGTAAGTCGGTATTGAAATCAAAATATAACATACCATCTTTATCTGAGGATTTTCTTTTTTTTGTAATTCTTTAATATCAATAATTACAATTTAATAGCAAGGTAGTTTTCAAAGTACTTAGTTAAAGTGCAAGAAAACAGAATGGGGACAGGCAGGTTGCTCTTTCTAGATCTACAGAAAACAGCTTGAACAGAAGCTTTTCAGATATGAGCTTTTGCAGCTAATATATATTGAAGGATCTTTTCATGCACAGACTATACGCGGTGATTCTTTCCCTTGCTTTAAATCACAAAAGGAAACCACGAGCAAACAACGGCTTTAAAAAGTGAAACAAAAGATAATTCAACTTTAATACAGAGTCTGTCTGCCTCTCTCCCCCCCTCTCTCTCTGTATATATGTGTATATATACACAAAGGAAAGACCTTTAAAACACCACTTAATGATAATTATCCAAACTTGTTACCTAAAATGAGAAAAATTCTTTTGTTACTTTGCCTTCAAGTATGTGAAAACTTGGTTCCTAAAAGTTATCCTCTTTCTCCTAATTTTTTGCAACATAACCATCAGCTAGATGCATTTGTCACTGCAATATACGTAATAAGTATTACACATTTGTTTCAGTAATGATTCCACAAAATAAGGTTTCCAGCATCTCTCTGCAAGCTATAACATGTTACAAAATGCATTTTGTTACTTAAATTAATCCATTTAAGCAGTCTGTCATTATCATATTATCCCAAGTATTTTTAATCTATCTTTCGAAGAGAACAGGAGTATTGACTGTAAGCCACTGTAAGCCTTCACCACATTTTAAAGGAAAAGTTAAAGATCGAATGTAGAGTATAAATACACAAAGCTTTGGCACTCCACTTCCATTTCAGCACTCTGTACTGACCTCTACTGGTTTACTCATCGTAGCTTTCATAAATATTAAACAGCTTACTTTTATTGAACTTTTGCCCTCTCTTGTTCAAATTCAGGGATAAATTAAACTGTATCCCACCCTGCCAACGTCTCCCTGACTGAAGGTCTAAAAGAGATCAAGCTTCCAACTGTTGGTGGCAGTTTACCTATAGAGGGTGAGACACTATGAAAAATCATGAGTTAAAAAGACCCTAATAGTACATATACAGCTGTAGAAAGATATTAAAATCAGAAAACTCCATCTTAACACTTTGGGTGTATTTTTTGTGATTGAATAATTTACCACATTTGTTTTATTCAACTGCTGCCTCATGTCTGGATCATTAGCTGTTTGGTATATAAAATCTGGTTTTGTATTGTACAATACCCAGCATCTGACCCATGATGAGGACCAGAAGTATTACTGCAACACAAATTCCAAAGTTGTGAATATAAATTCATCATCTTAAATCATCCCCATTTGACAGACTTCTGCTTCAGAGAACACGCTTGTCTCTAGAAGCTTCTTTGGAAGAAATATTTGCTCTGATTAGGACAGAGCTGGCAGCTTATCTACCACATGCCAGTGGAGCAAAGTACAGTAGTAAGTTTGACTTTATAAAAGTATCACTGTAAATGTTTTGCCAAAGTAAACTGTCATTACCCTGTCTTACTGGGAGCAGCGACATGCTCATCGCATCTTTTACACTACTAAATGAAGTTCAAACCATTCACTTTTCTGACTGATCACAAGAAAAAACAAATCTCTAGTTTTTCATGTGCCTTACAGTTAAGAGTAACTCTAGTTAGTCATAAGTAAATGAGCAAACTTTTCCATCCTTATTTACCAAAGAACACTTTCATTGTCAGCAGCACTCAAAACTTTCCAATTTTAAAGGCCTATTTTTAGAATTCTTTGTGATGCAAGTCTTTAAGTATGAATAACAGTTTTACATATTGTGAGAACTTCATTTCCTCTCACGGCTCTATCAGTGACTCCAAACAATTTTTTTTTTTTTTTGGTAAGTCACCTGTACTGGCTGGAAAATAACAATTGTTGACCACAAAAACAATGAAGCTTTGTTTTTCTGTTGGTATACATAGTAAAGCAGGTCACATATTGTTAATTCAATTTCAGAACAGCAAGATGCCTATTATTCATGAAGCTATTTTGTCCAATAATGCATTTTCTTTCATTTTTCATAAAAACCTCTGTAGATCGTGAATATAAACAAATCACTCAAATCATTCAGCGTCAATCTGTAATATTTTAATACTATAAATAAATATGTAAACCATGTCTGTGTGTTGTTTTTTTTTTTTAAATCACCTCCCCCTGACTTTTTGAACACTCAGATTTCTCTCTCTTCCTTTACCGCCGCTGAACCTTACATCACTACATCCTAATGCTGTCAGTGCTTAGAACCACGAGCAACACACTAAAGAAACCCTGAAGAGCCGCTAGCCAGCAGGGCTCTCCCCCACGGCGGCAGAAAGGAGCCGGGTCTCCCCGCCGGCGGCAGCCGCCTCTCCCCGGCGCTGACCAGCAGAGGGAGGAGAGGGGGTGCCCGCATAGCCCCGCATCCCCCAGAGTACCACAGCCCCCTTTGCTCTACGTCCAAGCAAAACTACAAGTGGCGGCCCCAGTTTTAATGCCTGTGATGAAAACCCACACATGATCTTACCCAGAAAACGCGCCGATACCTGTTTGGGTTTTTTTTTTCATTCTTACCTTTACCTAGTGATTGAGTACGGGTGTCCAGAAGGTCGCTGTCTCCTGGTCTTGCTGGGTTTGCCACCGCTCCGATTCTCACACTGCTGCTTCTAGGACTTGGATGAACAACTGGATCTGATCTGCTTATTCTGTTCTGTGTTAGAAAGAAAACATTTTGATGTTCTGTCACTAGAACCGGGCCTTTGCTCAACACATTAGAGCAAGTACACAATCGTTCTGAGATTTGCAAATCGGCATCTTTTTCCGTCAGTGGGAAATAGAAAATCTTATTAAGACTTCCTATAACTTACGAAGGGGTTATAGGAAGATGTTGATTTTCACTGAACAAGGTGTTGACTGGATCACCGTGAAACCATCTTCTTTCCAAGAGGCATTTTAAAGCAACACTTTTGGTCAGCTCTGTGCAAAATATTCCACAACAGCCCAAATAACTTTTTTCCTTACCTCTGGTATCCCAGTGAGGTCACATTCTGTTAAAAACATCCTGTCAAGCTTGGTACAAAAGGGCTCCAAAGAATCAGAATGCAGAAGCTATGCAACTTGCTGACTAACTTTGCTCTGTGTTATTTACCAACCACACAAAGAAAATGCTGTCTATTCAAAACACAGTTCAAAACTCTCTTCACAGAAAGTGAGTGAACAAACGGTCCCATGTCCGATGCTGTAGTCACATCTCCCATGAGGCCCGGTGATAGCTCTGGGGCATGGGACGGAGTGACACCACCAGCAGTCACTACAAGGCACTTTTGTAAACAAGTTGTGTGTGCAGAGGAGGAGGAGGAGGCGGGTGCTACTTTTTCTCCATCTTAACATTAAGCTATATTTGCTTTATCATCTCAGAACTTCAGTCTTGCTTAGTCTACTGGGTGCATTTGCTCTAGTACTTGCATGCTACTTTCCTCACGATAGCCTTTGTTTTCTTCCAGAAGGGATCTGAAAGGAACATCTGGAATTAGTGCAGAAACCCTGGAGCCAGGTTAAGCAGCAGAAGCTAATTCAGGGCCTTCCAGACCCACCACAGAAACAGGCAAAGAAACTCAGTGGCTTACCCAACTTCACACCCAGCAAAATTCAAAACACCTGTGGCAAGTCTTTTGCTTTGGTTCGTTAAAGAAATAGGCCTCAGTTATAAAAGCCATACCCAAGTTTCAGGTGTTCAATATTCTCAAAACTCAAAGTGGGGATTCTGACCCAACTTTATGGCTTTGCCTCATTATACAACTGAATTCTTAAAGCAATTTGGGATTGCTCTAGAAATCAGAGGAACTTTAGATTTTGCATTTCTGTTCGGTAATTTCAAGTATTCCTAAAATCATAAATACTTTCCACCCACTTTCATTATTTTAAACCCATCTATTCTTTGAAAACTCTTACTCCACTAGTCACAAAGCCACACTTTGGCAGAGAAGCAGAAATTTCTTCAGTTTGCTATGGGAAGAGAAGTCCCATATAGACCCAGCACTTCCAGTACTGTCCACGGGCCTCCACTCACACCAAGCCACTCCAGTGTTTTTCTTTATACTCACAATAAATCACAGACAACAACTATTTCCAGATGTGGAAAGATGAAAAATTGTTCTCATTGATCGCTTTGTAATTTCATTCTTTAACTGTCTGACCAGCATTGGAGACTTCTTCTTGCCACCCAATCCAAACCATCCTTCTTTCTTATCTACATGGCAGCCCTTGCCATGCTCGCATTTTTTTTACAACTTCCTAGTAAATATTTTTTCTTATGCTTTCAAAGGTCTAAAAAACAGGTGTTATAAAACACCTGTCGTATATGTTTGTGAGAGGACAACATGAGACATGGTGACATTATGTTGTAAAATAAACACTAGTCTGTTTTTCCTTTTGTGGGGTCTGGTTCTGCAGCATAAATGTGTATTCTGATATCAACCCAAGTGAAATACCTTTATAAGCTTTTACAGGTTTGTGATGTAGGTTGTTCCAAATCTTTATTCCAGGAATAAAGATCATTCCAGGTATGACATAAAGGACATTCAACTGCTGATATACTTTAACAACTGTGTGATTCATGACCAATAATTGGATGACAAAAGTATAACTTTTAAAAATGTAAAAGTTTTCTAGAAATACAAAAAACCTTAAACTACCTAGCTATATAGTTGAAAATAATGCCTTTAAAATATGAATGGTAAATGACCTTGCAAGTAGAATTGTCTAAGTATCCCTCAGGATTTTTAAAACAAATGTAGTTGTTTTCAGTACCCAAAAAACATCCAGTCTTTTGTCAGAGTCTGCAGTTTTGCCTTGTCAAGCAGTACCGTTCTCCAAAAGTAGTGACTTAAAGAGATCAAGTGAACCTTCACTTCTCCATAATAGCTGAAGATACTACAACAGTTGCTCTTGCTTTTTAATGTAGACTTTAAAAAGCACTGGAGCCAATAGGAAGTTGTCCACTGATCTTTGTATACTTGTCTTATTTTTATTCCAAGTTTACATTATAAGCTCTTCTTATCTCATTAAAATTAGTAATATATTATGGAATAGAATACATGTATTCTTCCTCTTTCCCAATAACCTCACTGTTCCACTTAATTATCTGTATCTTAGGAACACATACCCTGCCTACTAAAATACTGCAGTATACAGTAGGTTAGTTATTTTCACAGTATCACCATGAGGTCAGAAAGTTTATATTCCCTCTTTTATGGACTGGTAAGACCTCAGTTAGGTCTTCCTCTTAAGCCTTTTCTGAGCTCTAGTACTTATTTTTTAATAGGTCAAAACCAGCATGCAGAAGGCTGTACGCAAGAGCAAGGTCCACAGAACATTAAGCCTCCTAAGTCCAAATATCTGAGTGATTTTCTCTTCTCTGTTACTGATCCTGTAACCAGATTTTGAAAGGTACACCTTGCTTGTATAGGGAAATCTACCAAACTATATGAGTTAAAGGAGTCTAGTATTTTAGAATTGTGTTCAGATCATATTCCTTTTCCATACTATTGTAAGAGAAAGAGACAAGCCTATTTTTTTTTTTAGTTAAAATCAACAATACCATTGCAAAAAGAGCAAAAAGTGAAAATGTCACTGTGTTGTGAAGACAGTTTCATGTTCTCTTTTTTTGTGCTGTGGGTACATTTCTGTTCTGGTGGCTTTGATGCGCCTGTGATTACGTGTGCTAGAAGCTCTTTTTGTCATTTGCAACCTGACATTCCATGTCCCACACATAAAATGGCACTCATTGAAGGGCACCCATTAGGCACTGTCCTTCCTTTGGAGCCTGATTGGAGATGGACACCTCTCCCTTGATTTTCTGAGGACTGGACTGTCAGTGGCTCCATTCAACTTAACAAGGAATATCAGATTGTTTTATTTATGAAGCTCAAAACTGAGACAGCAAAGTCAAGCTCAGATTCTCAGAAGTTCCTCCTATCTACCTCTCGCAATCTATTAATTCTTTAACAACACCAACAGAGATCTGTATGTGTGCTTTTCAAAAATTACCATATACTTCAGTCTCATGGAGAAAGAGGGTTAGAAAGTTTAAGTTTTGATGTTGATTCGCCAAATGTAGGTCACATGGGAGCTAAGATGTGAACCTAATAATGCATTTAATAGCATTGGCTCTTCTCTCTCTCCCCGACAACCCCACCAGGGAAATGAGACCAAGCAAGATTGATACTAATTATGCACACAGAGGAGCCCTAGTTGCAATCGCCAGCCTGCTGCAGAATTCTTTGTGGATGACAGGCAGAGTTGGCAAACAAAAGTGGAAGGGGGTAGAAAGAAAGAAAGAAAAAAAAAGCATTTTCTGGCTGTTCACAAAATATACCCAGAACTTAAAAAACCAAGTCTAAATGCACAAAAAAACCCAGGCAGGCCATGCAAAAAACATTTAGTTAGGTGTCTAATAACTCCAGGAGCAATATTGGATACCAACCCATCACATGCTCCCATCAGGTGGTTTAAAAAAATAAAACAAAAGAAGATTTTAAAAATCCCATGCTTCCTCCTTTCCCATGTAATTACCTTGAGTTACAGTTGGGGTGGGGGGAGTGAGGTGAATTTGAAACAGATAAAAGCTGGGTAAACCACTCCAGTAGTCAGGCTCATGCAAAAGTACTTAACCAGAAACAAATGCTGCTGATGCTTTTGTTCTGGTCTTTCACTGAAGCTTATTCTGGCCTTCTGATGTGCCTCCTATAGGTGCCTCTGCCAGGCAACTGTGCATGTTCTCACAGTCCCAACTGCTAGCACCACATTTATTTATTTATTTTCAATCCAAATAAACTCTTAATGGCTTAACATAAAACATTTGGATTTTTTTTTTTGATGAACACTAAATAATAAAAAAGCCAGAAGCACAATAGGCCATAAGGGAATGAAAGGGATGATTGTTCAAAGCCCTATTAAAAGGTTTGTTGCTTTATTTATATGTTTTTTAACAACACAATTTCAAAGCCTTTTAAAGAAGACTCCTCCTCCGCAGTTGCCTGCCAAGATAGTACTTAGCTGAGGGAGGGAGTGGCTGCTCTTTAAAAGATGATGGGTTTAGAGAGAGATATAAAAAGGCTTTTCCAAAAACAGTTGTCCAGAAGGGCCAATGAAAAGAAACAAAAGATATGAGATGAGGATTAGATGGAAAGAAGATGGGAACATTAAAACAGAGAGTGCTGAGAGAGAGAAGAGATTTTTAAAGCAAAAATGGTTCTGTTAAGATCCTTTTAGTTACTCTGTTATACTAACCATTCTCCATATTTAGGCATCTGTCAGGTAGTAATTGTGAAGCACTTCACAAAAATTAACTCTGGCAGCCCTCTTTCATGAGGTAGGTGAGGGACAGAGATCCACTCGCACACAGGCAAAGCCCAGGTTGTACAGCTGGTTTCCACAGAAGACCAGAAAACTCTTTCACAGCACACCACATTACAAAGCAACAGGCACAGAAAGGTTATTCTTCCCCTTGGTGTGCTGCGTTATTCCACTGCAGATATCAAGTGACTTGTCTGGGTGGAAGACATGTCATGTGCGGTTGAAATATCTGGAGATAAAGCTGAGGTCCGTGTTCACTCTCCTTTCTCTTAGAAGCAAATACTACAGTCTAGGTCTCACTCTTAGGAAAATTCCTCTACATTCCTCCTATTGGTTGAGAGTCTGTTCCCTCAAAATGCTGTCAGCAATCATCATCACAAATGTGATCACAAACCCCCAGGTAACTTGTGCAAAGCTGAATAAAAGCCACCAAATGAGGTTCTGCACTCGCAGCAGGGAGCCAGTGCAGTCACCACTGGTAGTATGTCTATTGGTGACTTCTGTTGCTAGAGAGATGGCCTGTAGTTTACTCTGGCTGGAGTTTTTCACAGCTCGTGGCACCACTCCTAGAAATTAGGAGAAATGTATCCCTCTATTGGGTATAAGAAGTCTCCTGTGCAGTTAAGGAGTAAGTGTGAAGAGCTCTACCTTTGCTGGTGGGCTACAGTCAGTTACATCACCTTGCATTATGAGAGCCATTGGGC